TCCTCTAGGAAACTCCTCGAGGTAAAAGGTGATCGGCTCTGATCTACCTTTCACCCTCTCGAATGTCACCATTTGCGAGGGAGCCGCGTCGACCAATTCGTCCAGCTTCCTCTTTGCTGAATGTATAGTCAAATCATTAAGCCCCCCAACATTGATGACCATGGAGGAGGGGAAGTTTTCCCACCTATTGTGCATAGACAGAGGCTCTTGTACATGTTCGGGGATGTAGAAGTCCTCCGGACTCATGACAGAGAATGCGGTTTGGATGGGGACCGACTCGTCAGATGGTCGGGCATCCTCTTCTACTTCCCTTGTCTCACGGGAATCTCGACGAGGGGCGTCACCTCGCCGATACCGCGCGAGCCTCCCCCATTTTATGAGGGTCTCGATGGCGTCCTTAAGATGGACACAATCTTAGGTCAAGTGCTCGTGGCTCCGGTGATACTGGCAGTACTTGCTTCGATCTACCCCAGGTTTAGCAAGAGCGAGGCGAGGACGCTTGACGTCGCCGTCCTTGAAGTCTGTATTTGCGTACTCCGCTAAGATGCACTCGCGGGAAGCTGTTAGGTGAGTGTACTCAGTGAACCTCCCCGAGGGCCCCCTTTATTCCTGGACATCTCAGGGTTTGTCGTCCCTTCTCTTCTCGCCAGTTCGTCGAGGAGGGGCGGTGTCTTATCGCAGATTACTAGTAGATCCGCGATTCCTGGGATCCCGGGCTCTGTTGGCCGCTTCTCTCTCCTCGTAGTCCATATAAGCTCTGGCCTTCTAGAGGAGGGAATCGAATGTCTGGGGTGGTTCGATGCCTACAACCTTTTTGAATTCAGTGCCCGGGAGGAGTCCCCTCTCGAGCAGGTATCTTTTCATGTGGTCTGTGCAGGGGACCTGGATGGCCACCCGGTTGAACCGGTCAATAAACTCCTTCAGGGTCTCATCGTGTCTCTGGACGATGGCCTCGAGGGCTGCTTCGGTCTTCGGGTGTCGTCGCGAAGCAGTGAATGAACTGATGAATTGGTTCTTCATATTTCGCCAAGAGGTAATTGACCCCGGGGCGAGACCTTTGTCCCAGTCTATCGCAGCTTTTCTCAGAGTCGTGGGGAACAACCGGCATTTGATCGGTCCCCCGATGTTGTGATAGTGTAGCATGGCTTCAAACCCGTCTATATGGTCGACAGGGTCGGCGATGCCGTCGTACTCCTTTAGGTGGGGAGACTTCTCCATGCCCGGGGGGATTGGTGCCTCCATGATAGCTTATGACATTGGACCGCAGGGGTCGTCCTCGTCACTCTGTTCGGGCGAGCGAGACGGAGATCTGATGTAGTGGCGGTCACGGTGGCCATGGTCGTGGGAAGCGGTCCTCGGGCGGTATGACTTTTGGTGGTTTCCCTCATTCCTGTCTCCAGGGGGCTTCGTTCTTGACGCGAGGGGTCGTGATCGCGCCTTCCCGCATCAACGAGTTGTTCCCTTTCCAAGGGGGGTCGTCGCCCGATTGGTCGGGGAGATGGGCTTCGAGAGATGTCCCGACTATGTCTCTCCGGGGGAGATTGGGGATGTTCCTCTACTTGTCGAGGAGGAGGAGATTGAGGTCTCATGTGTCTTCTTGGGGGCCTCTGATCGTCTTCGAGTGCCCCAAGTCTTTATCCATGGGCGAAGATTAGGTAGTTGGTTTGATTGATTGTCGTGAACAGTGCCCTGGTCGTGGCGTCTTCCCCGGCAGGGACGGGGACCTCATGGAACTGGATGTGTTGGTAGTTCTAGGGAGGAGACGATCATCTTCAAGTCGATGAGGCAGAGATGATGATGAAGCAGTTTCTCCATCTCTGTATTCAGAAGGCCCGGGCATGTTGATGCCAGGGGCTGTGTTGTGGCTGGCGGTACTGGCATTGTCGAGGCCGGAATTGTTGCCGGCGATGTTGTTGTTGACGTTGATGACACAGACATTCATGTTATCTAGAGTCTGGTCAGCCATGACAGTCGGGGATTTTTTATCTTTGGTCTCAAGTGAATAGAAGACGGGGAAGCAAGTTTCCCACGGACGGTGCCATTGATCTTACCGGATCATAAATAGACCGTCACAGCTGGCTCAGGCAGAAGTTGAATGAGATGGGAGGGGAGTACCTGCAAGACACTCCGATGGTAAAGTAAGAAGCGGAATGAGCAAGCAAGTATGAGTAGAGATGTAAACTGAATACCTGACCCTCTTGAGATAGGGTATTTATAGCCTCCAGCGATGGGCCAAGGTTCCTGTTATTGGGCCACGTTGAGGCCCAATAATAGGAACTTCCAGGGCTAACGTGTGTATGGAGTCCAGCGAGTGGGCTCCCCCCTGGTCAACTGCTCCGCGAGAATAGGTTTGGACCCGTGATTTTCGGAGGGCAGTTTAAGATGATTGTCGTGGGACCGTAGGCCATGTCCTCCAACGGTCGGATGAGGAATTGCCCAACGGTCACTAACTTGGTTGTCTTTGGGCTTCCCGTTCAAAGGGCAGGTGTAGGCCCAATCCAAATCAGTTGGAATCCCAACAGTGATGAAAATTAATGCACGTTTTCCCCCAATTAAGATTATCAATTGTGAAGCAAAATGTACTAGTCATAGATTCGAATTCTAAAAGCAATAGTTTTTTTTAAGTCACTTTTCACCATTTTTGAAAATTCAACTTGTTAAAAAGTGACCTTCTATTTTTTATTTTAAATTAAAAACAAATTATATTTTTCAAGATATATAAAGCTCTACGTACATTCATTTTTGTCTTAGAAGAACTTTATTTTATGCCTCTAAACTTCATCTTCCATTTATGAAACTACTCCAGCTTCTTTCCTGTCATACTTATTTTTCAGAGCCTTTCAAATCTGTTTTTGCAGTATTGCATTTAGTGTAATAATTATACAGACCGTCTGCGTGTTCATTTCAAAATGTGATTTTTATATAAATAGTTGTTCCCTTTCCGTGAGACAATTTTTTTCAAAGTTGTAAATTATTCGCTTTAATTTATGCAATAAATTCAGATTCAGCAACAGTTGTGTCATCTAAATCCAAAAATTTCTTACCGTTAATTTATTTGGTTGATCTAGAATGAACAACAAGCATGTCGTCCATTAAAACGTTGGCAATCTTTTTTTAAGGTTAGTAAAACATTTATTTTCTATTGTTACTATTTGAAGAGACTCTCCTCAAACTTGAACGGTGTGTCACAAATAGCATAAGTATCAATAATTTTTCGATAGTTATGACAGTTCGAAAACGTCTTAAAACTGTTGTTTCAAGATTTTGAAAAAATTATCAATGAAGATATTATTGGGCCGAATTGCAAACTAGGTCGCTCTCTTGAAAACGTTTTACAATATTGTCCAAAATTGTACAAAGCAATCACTCAAGCAGATGCCTCTAGGATAAAACAATCTAGTTCAATATTATACAATTACTATGTAAACGGTAGTAATATTTAGTATATCTAAAAAAAAGACTAGTCAAAAGTGATTTAAAAATCACTCGTACTATTTAGTATAAAGACTCGTCGTAATAATTTCTCAAACAAGATAAATTCAAATAATTCTCCAAAGAAAATTTAAAAAAATTTACTTAGAAATTTCTCAAATAATGATGAAAAATTCAAATAATACTTCACTAAAGAAAATTCAAAAAGTGCTCGAAAAATTCAACGAATAGAAATAAATGGAAGAAGTCGATGCTTCAGTAATTCGAAAAACGCGGAGTAGTGAAAGTGAAAAAGGAAAAACTCAAAAAAAAATTTATATATTTTAAAATGAAACATGTGTTTTTCTTATATAATGAAATATGTTAAATAAAATATTTAATCTACACAATATGAGACTAAAGAATTTCCTCAATTCGCATACATATTTATTTTTCTAACAATGTGGAATTTAAAGATTTTTTTCAAATTCACCACCGTATTAAAATATTAACGTGTTCCGACAATATAATATAGAATTAAATTTGAATTTTGAATGTGATTAATTTATATGCATGAATGGTGAATTTTTCTTTACACAATACATCTTACCATTTTCTTAGGTTAACCTGCATAACTATTCACATGAGGGAATTAAATTAAGTGATATATAATAAAATGTTGGGTTAATAACTATTTTACTTCCTTTTATATAAACAATTTTTGAAAAAACACTATAAAAAAATCAAGATACGATTTTTAACATTTCAAGATTTCATTGTTCTAATCCCTCTTAAAATTCAGTCACGAGAAGCTTTAATGTGATAATCTTTAGACATTAGATTTCAAGAGGGATCAAAACAATAGAATTTCAAATGAATCTTTATTTTTTTTACTAGAAAATTTTTCAAAAATCGACCGTATGACAAAAGCAAAATAACTATTAACCCTAAAATATTTTATACACAGTATATAGAGAGATCAAATCTTATTTTATTAAAAAATTAAGATTAGATGATTTCCTAAATTAAGACGGAAAAGATGTTATAGTAGAAAAAAAATCACTTAAAAAGATATTTAAATTTCCCTTTGTCCAAAACTATTATCAGTTTTGTGCACAATACGAATTTTAATTTGATAGAATTTGAGACTAATGAGAAGTGGCACGTATTAAATTAGGCAGACTTTTAAACATTATTTAATCCCTATTAATCAATGTTTAAAAAAAAAATTGTACCATTTCAAAAGCCTAAGGACCTGTTTGTTTTCATGATTAGATCCTTTCCAGACGCACCTAAGCCTACAGTGCAATTACTGATGAGATAAATATTAAAACCTTGGTTCAGTGCCAATAAAGAAATAAATGCTAATCTTGCTTCATAAATAGGAAAATTTTCTCATGGGGAAGATAAGGGAAGAACAAAAATGTAAAACTAGCAATAACTTTAACAATATACATATATTTCAAAAACTCAGTCTGTTCTTCAATTTTTTTCATACATGCCACGGAAATTTTGGCATTGGAGAGGTGACCAGTATGATCAAACCTCAATTGCATAGCGCCCTGAAGAGCGAGCTAGGCCAAATTATATTAGTATGGATTATATCGGCCAGGACCACGATTACGGTTATTATCGGTATTACGTTTTTCACCACTTGAGCTACCACCACCACTCCTGCCATGTCGAGTTACTGGTGAAGGAGCATGCTGTTGCAAACCTGGCTGTTGCAAACCTGGCTGTTGCCTACAATCACCCAACAATAAGTCAAAAACAAACTCAACTATAGATGAAGCCATTGTGTGTGCTACTGTAGAACAAGATAATATATCAATCCTAAATACAATTAATGTTCAATTATAAATACTATGGTTGCTTTGGCTTGATGGCAAGTGGAAAGGTCCAATCATTGGGTTCAACTCAACTCCCAGGCTTTACAATTTATTATTTTTTTCCATTTTAATAAAATTATGACCAAAATTAGAAAAATGTAAGAACACAACACACGAATCGAACCCATTTTACCGAACCCCACTTAATCTTAACCAGAGATGTCAACCACTTGACTAGTGATAACTATATGTTACATATCTAATCTTATATGTATTTAAACATATTTAAACAAAATTTGGAGTGTTGAGTCTTGTTGCCCTTGCATAGCAAATAACCATACATCATAAACAAATTAAAAACTAGAAAAACCAAGATTACACTTACAAGACATATGCAATCCTTCCATCGGGTAGAAGTATTGGCATCATTGCCATGCCAGCAGGGGTTGCTCCCGGACCATACATCAGTGGCTGCACATTTAATGACCTCTACATCAGTAAGAGAGATATAGGACCATAGAGGCACCAAGTTCCTTCATTATTAATAAAGCTAATAAAAGAATTTTCTTTTTCATTTTTTCTTCTTTGCCCCATAAAGATATTGAATAGAATAAACTATTTTTCTTTGCATTGAAATTTTAGAAACGGGCGCTTAAATACTCAATCAAGTGATGCTAAATCCAAGAATTGATGCTAACCACTTTAACCCTATTTAGAAACAATTCATCAAAAGTTCAGACACATATAGCCAATGAAGTTGAGAATGAGACAGTTCAAAGCATACATTACCCAACTTGATAAAAACTTGTACACCTAGTAATTAAAATTCTCATGCTTAATGTGAGTCGGCATTGCTGCCAGTGTAATAATGGGAAGCATCTTCCTGGCCCTCATCTTTTAGAGTAATGCAAGGCAAGAAAGACTAGAAAGGCTAGAGCAAGTTACCTGTGCAAAGCCAGCGGCACCATATCCTGCACCAACAGCCCCATATCCACCTCCAACCATGCTATAACCAAGAGGGGGTGGATAAGTAGGAAGTATAGGTGACTTGTGTGAATTTGATATACCAGATGATTTCTGATCTGCCTGTGGCTTAGCGAGTGAGCATTCTAAAGTTTGGCCTGTCCATTCCAGAAAACATAATGCTTACCATGTGTAACAGTCCATGTCACTGAGAAAATATATTAGAAAATAGTATTAAAAAAAGGCAAGGAAATACCATCAATCTCATACTTCTCCGTGTTCTTCAATGCCTTCATTGCACATGATCTATCAGCAAAGTGCACAAAACCATATCTGCTCTTCTCTTGTCCAGCTTTAGCAGGAGGGAGAGCCACTTTTGTGATCTTACCATGATGTTCAAACAACTCCTTCAGGCGATCCTGCGTTATGTTTTCTGGAAGGTTCTTTACATATACTGCTTTCACCTGTACTAAGCACAAGGTCACGGTTACAAAACTCATAATACAACTCACAACTTATGCAATAGCTCTAGATATAGATAAACAAATATATAATTAGAAACCACGGGATGTTAACCATTTGGTTCAACTAATAGCAGTTGCAAATAGACAAAAGGTTCACCTTCTTCAAAATGTAGAAATCAAACATAAATATTGGCAACAAAATGAGAATAAATGCATTACAAATTTCCTGAGCCAGGAAGAGGACACCTCCAATTTAACAAAAATGAAAACTTCAGTTTCGTAATCTGAGTTCTTCTATGTCTCAGCTCTGTTCTAGTAGTCTAAATAACTTCTTCACCTCTGCTTTATGTTATGGGCTACACAGTGTTGTTCTACATGTAGGTAGTGAAAGGTTTGATAATCTTATGAGATGTTTTAGGAAGTTAGATACATTGTCGGTCTGTTTTAGATTATTTTATGAAAAAAAAAATACTTACAAAGATTTTCTATCGTTGTTAGTTTATACTTTTCAAAATAATCAGAATTTGAAAAACTCAAAAAATTAATGAAAAGTAACTTTAAGTAGCTTCTAAGAAATAATGTGATTGTGTGGTAGATGAGTCTTGAGAGAGAATGACAAAAAGTGATATTTATATTTGTAAACAAAAAGTGATATTTATATTTGTAAACAATCATAACTTGGCACTTTCCTAACATAATTTAAAATATTATCAAGTTTTATACAATATTTACTTCTATTTTATCTTAAACAAAAGGCCATATAATTTTCCATTCCTTGGGGAAAGTCGGTGCACATTTTGAAAATTAAATGATTAAAGTGTACTTAGAGCAAAGTTGAAGGGGGGTGTACTTTCCTTTTACCTTCTGTTATTGTCTGTGCCTATGTTATGATCGAAAGAAGGGCTGGAGTATAGTGAAATGGAAGGCTGAATAGGTTCTGTTGTTGGGAATGTTTGAAATAGGAAAGATAATAAGGAACTTGATGTGATGCATTCAATTCAACCACCCATCAACACATATATAACAACCTACACTTAAGTTTTTTATTCTTAAATACTTAAGCAGGTTATTTATGAATTTTAAATTTGAATCTTAGGTATAAAACTTATAATAGATCACCTGAGAGGATGCTGATGAATCAGAATTCCTTGGGTCAGCCCAGCTCACTGTTGGAGCATTAGTGTCAAGTTTAAATTTGGAGTTTGCCATTTTCTGCCTTGAATATTCTGCACAAGCATGATTGTGATACTCAATAAAAGCAAATCCCCGATTACGGCCAGAACTCTGTGGATCCTGTAACAGTGAAACAGCTAGCTAGGTGAAGGCAAAGATTACCCAACATGAAATGCACTTCATAGTATAAGTAACAGAAAAAACAAGGGCATTAAACAACACATGTAAAATCAAACCATGACATATAAAAAAAATTGCCAGCGGACCTTCAACAGTTCCACAGAAATGACGCCAGGGCCAACCTTGGCAACAACCTTCTTCATATCTTCAACAGTCCATTCTTTAGGAACATTTCCAATGAATAACCTATGCTTAACTTGAGACGTTGAGCACTTTATTTTGTTTCCCTGGTAAACTCAGAAAGGAGCACCTTAACTCAGATAATAATACTAAGGACAGACAGTGTAATGGATAAAATATTTAGAAATTAAAAGTTAAACAAACTAAAGTAGAGACAGTATCCATAACTTAATAACAGGTTCACGTAACAATATAACCATCAAAGATTCCAGAAAATGGCAAAAGTTATGCGTACCAAAATAACATAAATTCAAATTACAATACTGCAGGAAGCCAATGTAATGATTAAAATCAGTGTTGTCAACTGCGGATAGTGGATAATATTGGATTATTGAAATTCTGCAACGCTTAGGTGGTGTAGCACCGCTACAGAGGCTATTTAACAATGTTAAAATAAATAGAAATTAAAAGACAAACAAACTAAAAAGATAAAAACAACATCAATGACTTAACAAGAAAAAGTAAATAGTATAAGCACCAAATACTACAGAAAATGAAAATAACCAACGGTGCCAAAATACCTTGAATTCAGTGTTGTTCAACTCCTCGATAGCCTTTGATGCCAATTCCTTTGTCTTGAAGGTCACAAAAGCATAACCTTTTGCTTCTTTTCCCTTCATAATCCTTACCTACACAAAAATCCATCTGTTTAGAGAGTTACATAGAAGTCGACCTATACAAAAGTCAATCTGTTCAGATGTCTATAGAAGAATTTCATTTATTTTACCTCTACAACTTCTCCCACGGATAGACAGAAGACCCTTAAATCTTTTTCAGAAACGTCGTGAGGAATTCCCCCAATGTAGACCTCTGAACCATGAGGTGGAAGCGCAAGAAGTTCAGCATGTCTCTTCTTCTCAACCTCATCCATACTATCATCCACTCTCATCTCGTCTTCCCCGTCTGAAGGCTTACTACCTTCCTCTACTTCTTCTTCCTCTTCTTCCTCCTCCTCCTCCTCCTCTTCTTCCACTTCCACTTCTTCCTCCACCTCCACTTCTTCATACTCTACCTCTTCCTCAGATGACTCATCTTGATCATTATCCCCTTCAAGGTCTATCTGCTCACCAGAATCTGTAGGTTTTTCCGGATCACCATTCCCCCCTGTTGACTCTGAATTTTGAGCTGTTCCTTCTTTCTGTCTTGTCCCAGGCATTGTATGCATCTAGAAAAGCAAGCTTGCAGGGCAACTGTGAAGGAAGCACAGGAGCCAGAAGCATACAAAGAAGAGAGAATGCAAATAGGGAAAGGTGGAAACAATATAAGTGGCCAGATGGAACAGCAGAGTAAGAATTTTGATTGAAACCGTCCCATGAAGTATGGACCAAGGAGTAGCATAGCAAAAAAAAAAAAGTAACAAAGACAGGCAAGATAGAATTCCGAACGAAAATCAAGAGGATAACGATACTCAAAAGGCCTATCAAAGACCCAAAACAAAATCAATGAATTTCAGAATTTCTCGACCCAGAAAATTTTGGCCAGTTAAATTGTTGTATAACTATTTGTCGAAGGACGATATACACAGAGGAAGGGAAGGGGAAGCAACAAAAGTAACAAATAAGAAACTGAACCAAGTTTATAAATTTAAAAAGAAAACATACATATTTATATATACACAATAAATAAACTACTTACTATAGTGTATATAGGAAGATAATGATGCAGTTAAAGAGCAATATATCATAAAACAATGCACATAACATGTTCGAATAATGGTTCGCAATGCAACCACAGTTTGATAGTAGAGTAAACAAACAATTTATCATGGTTATGCTGAAATCATTTATCATGTTTAAATGCAAACCAATGTGCAAACCATAATCCAAATATACTACAAATATTTACTTTAAAATATATGCTTCCATAAAGAGGTACTAGTTCAACGATTTTCTACCAATGAACTAACAAAACATGATTCTCCTATCTACTTTGTGAGATTACAATGAAAAATAGAGGGGAAAATCGACTAAGTATGAGAATGAATTGGGCATTGTTTATAGCATTGGTAAGGAAAACGGAAGTACCTGAATAGAAGCGAAATCGATGTTGAAATAGAAATAGAAGTTGTAGAATGGAGAGTTGATTTCGAAACCCTAGAAACGTAATCGCTGGCGCGTTCGTTGATCTTATGGTGGCCGAATTCACTATTGGTCGACGGTGTGCAGGGGATTTTGAATTGGGCCTTTCGGGTCGGGCCTTTCCGTATCAACATCATTGATCGTTTTTCTTTTCTTTTTTATATCAAAAATGACAACGGCTCTTATTTTATTTATTAGTTATTTTTATAAAATACAAGATTTTTTTTAGATGTGTCTATAATAAAAGTGAATTAAGATAATTCAAAAAGTAAAATCTATATATATTGAAATATTAATTTTTTTATGTAATAGGAAGTGTAAAAGTATGCACACGAATGAATGAAGGATTGAAGATATGCGGTGGTTGAGGTTTCAAATAATTAAAGAGGAGAAGATAATTTCTAAGATTAGCACCTCCAATTTAGCGTTTGAAAGAGATGAAATTATGAAAATATAAATGAAAATAATATGTGGGTATTGTTGTACCCCAAAATTTGCCCTCTCATTTATCAAAGATTTTTCTCACAAAGGTCTCTTTGACTCAAGAATGGATTAGGATTTAATCAGCTCAAGACATCTCCTCATGCATTGATGACCAAAATTAGGGTTTGAGTTTGCACAAGGATTTTTGGACTATCAATGCTTCATATGAATTTCAAGGATCATTATGGACCCCCAAGATTATTCATGTCAAGTTTCAAGCCTTGAATCACACTTTTGATCAGTCAATTGAATAGTTGACCTAAAAATCAGTTGTATTGGGGGAAAAGTCAACAATGGTCAATTTACAGTCAAACTTCATAATTTTTTATCCACATCAACATTTTAGACTCATATGTATCATTTGATCAAGTTTGGACCATAATTCCTCAAGAAATTGGATCAAATCATCAAAAGGGCAAAATGGTCAAAATTAGGGTTTTGACTGAGAAGGGGCAATTTCTAATTTTTGACCTAGCAAATGATCAATTGGTTTGAAGCATGATTTCAAGAGTTCAATTGCATCATCTTGACCTAATGACATGGTTCAAAATATTACAAATCTATTGGATTGACAGATGAATTTTTCAGGCAACTAATCAAAAGTCAACTGTATACTGAAAAGTCAAACTTTGACTTTTTGGTCAAATTCAAGTGTCAAGGATCACAATTCATCAAAACATGTCAAAATGTGAAACTTATTCATCAAGAAATCAAGAATTGAAGATTTTGTTTTGAAATTTGAAATTTCTTAACTTAGAATTTTTCGAAGTATAGAAAATTTCTTATTTTTTCTCAATTTTGAGCCAAGTTTTCACCATGATGCAAGATGATTCAAAGGAATTTTCCAACATGAAAGTTGTAGATCTCCATGAAATCTACAACTTTTCTTCACACAATTTATCCTAAAAATGCTTGGATCTCAAGATATAATTTTATGAATACATGCTCATGAACTAAAATAACTTAGTGAAATTTTGCCCTAGTTAGGCAGGTTTTTGACCTAACTTCATGCCATTTTTTCACATAGTTCCAAGGGGAATCTTTGAAAGAAATTCAAAGATGAGTTGTAGAGCACATTGCAAGCTTTTCAAAATATCCAAGAACTCCTTGAGATCATTCTTGAGTAGGGAGAATCGAAGAGATGAAGTTGGCAATTTCTCACTTTGATTTCAAGTCATTTCATGATGAACAAAAATTCAAATCCAAGCCTAGGCTGCATAATATTTGCTTTGTAGGCCTCAAACTTGTTTCTTACTCCATAATTAAATGTTTACACAGCTGATAGAGCTTTAATCTAAGCATTAGAGCCTTTGTCCAAGCTATAATTCCATTTATGGCACAAAGTTGTCATTTTCATTTTAATAAAGCACAACTTTTGTAATTGCCAACTCCTTGAGCTTTGCACTTGTTCTTTCTACACACACAAACCCTATAAACCAAAAGCAATGTGTCTAAATCCTCTACCAACTCAGATCAGGCTTGTACAAACACATAGAGACTTGTCTCCTCACTTTTCTTCAAAAGCAAGTAATAAAGCCAAAAGGCTATAACTCAGAAACCTGGTGTGGAATTGATTTGAAACCTTCTCTATACTTATACACAGGTGTATTAAAACCTAACACATGAATGCTAAGGCTCATAAACTCTCCCAAACACTCTACCACTGATAATTTGCCATAACTTGTAGTTTTGCACCTTACATGGCAATCTCAAAAACCACTCGTGCGTTTTGAGTTTTAACCACCTAAACACTTAATATACATCATAACTAAGTGTTCCAGACCCATGTTCCCTCACTGTAACTCCTACTCCTCCATCCACCATTTTTGAATTTCAAGCTTGCAGGTTGACTTGAGTAGAGAGATTCAGAGACTTTCAGGACAAAGTAAGGATTGGAATACACTCAGGGAGGTCCAGGCAAGCTAAACAGATCCTCATGCCTTCTCAAAACTTGCTCAAACTCCATTCACGATCTTAGCTGAAAGAGGTAAAAATTCAAACTTTTATCTCTTCATACAAGCATCATTTGGTCTTGATTTGTGAAAACAAAATGTAGATATACTTACACTAAATCTAACCATGTTCATAGTTTTCATTTATATTCATTGTGTATAGAGAATTTTGGATTTGAAATTTCTGTAAAAATTAGGTTTCAAATTAGGGCCAGTAAAATTAGCTTTGATCTTTGACTTTTAGTTTACATGAATTATATGGTTGAAATTGTGGGAAGAAATACTATCACTTTCATGTTTGGATTTTCCATTTTCATGGAGAAATGAGAGAGATACAGGTGGTCCGGCCATGGCTCAAGGTTGAAGATGAAGTTGCCTTCAGGAGGCGTTTTCTAATATATATTTGTGCTTTTGTTTATATAAACGGATGTATAGCCACCCCAGTAGTAAGGCAGCACGCAAAAAGGCCAGAGGTCATGGGTTCGAGCCTCAGCGCGCTGCCTTTTGCAATTTTCCATATTTTTCCACCTTTTTTGTTGTTTTTGCAGCATGGGCTTCAGACTTTGGGCCTTGTGTTTTTTGCTAACCTCATGCCTCCTATTTGCTTGCAGCACCCCTGGCTCATATTAATTTTATTTATTTATTTTATCTTTTATTTTATTTTAATTAAATATATTTTCTTAATATTAAAAATCACAAAAAATATATAATTGATGGATTTTATTTTGACTTATTTTATTTCATTTTTCTCAATAAAAAAATATTTTTATTATATATATTATCTATTTTTATTAAATAACTTTGTAAATTAATTTAGAATTAGTTTAATATTTATTTATCTTTCTTCACACCCATTAAGCATATTATTTTAATATAAAAATACCATAAATACCATAAATACCATATATTATTTTTAAAAACAAAAAAATGCAAAAATACTTACTTTTTCTTAAAGAAATTTGTTTTCTTTTAATCAAATAGAATTAGGATTTACTAAAAATCTTTCCTAAAAAATAATTTCCTTTCCTATTTAATTTGAGATAATCTTGATTTATTTATTAGGTTTAGGTTAAAACTTTTTCCACATAAAAAACCAAACAAAATCTTCTTTACATTCATACATCTTTGCATATTTAATTTATCTTGTATATTATTTATTCCAATATTTGTACATGTTCAATTTGGTTGTAATAGATTAATTAGGTTTATATTATTGCAATCCCCATTCATAATCTACCCCCCGAACTCAAGAAATAATCTCAAAGGTCTTTCCTGTGCTTTTTCACATTTCCTTTTGGATAAAAGAAAAGTCGGTGGCGACTCTTGCTAAACCACAACATTTATGATCAAACGCAAAACAATCAAGTCAGTTCTCCCACCGTATCACAGAACTGGCGACTTTGCTGGGGAGAATTTTAAAAGTGGGGTTATCTTAGGGATAAATCATATTTACTTGCTTATATTGTTTGACTTGTATGCTTTACATTATGGTTCTTTGTTTGGGTTTGAATCCTCTATCCGGATTTGGGATACATTATAGGTAAGTAGCAATACGTTATTGAAAATGTGCAGGATATACCGACATGGTCTAAGCAATAGCTACGTTAGTGTGACATATTTGTGGGTACCGGTAGCCTTTGAGTTAATCAAAG